AGAGAGAGAGAGAGAGAGAGAGAGAAGGTGGAGCTTTGGTGATAAAAGCTCAGTGTACAAAGACAACCCTAGGAGAGGTGTCAGAAAAAATCATTCTACTAGAAAATGATTGGTTTTCTCTAGACTTTGGTGTCTCTAAGGAGTTTAAATTTTGCCCTCTGGAGAAAAATAAGAAATGGGCAAACTGGTAATGTGTCAAGTGATTTATTGTCCTGGCCCTTCACCTGCCCGCTCCCAACCTTTCTTAGAATTTTCCAAGAGAGAGGATGGAATGAAGGAGAACTAGTTTATTCTTTGTGAGGGGAAAAGCAGACAACCTAGTAATGAAAGTGAGTCATTTGAATAATGATCCACAGGTTGTATAATTACTTTTATTTGATAGAAAATATTAAGAGGTTTGATGGGGAAGACCTTCTTCCTGTGTGTGTGTGATATTTTATCTTAAGTCATTGAATGAGGGTGCTAAGAGTAATCAAATTTCAGTGTTCATATATGACATTAGATTTTACAAAGTGCTTTCACATTTGATACTTACCACTGTGGAGTGTTTGTTTAGTGTTAAGTTGTGACCCTCTATAGGAGTCCTGGTGTGGCACTGTGGGCTAATGCGTCAAGACTACAAAGTCGTTTGAGCTGCAATGTCAGTGGTGCAAGCTTACCAGCTACTCCTTGGAAACCCCTATACAGGGTCGCTGTGGGTCGGAATCGACTCCATGGCACTTAACAATAACAACATAGGGTTTCTAAGGAACAGCTGGTGGATTTGAGCTGCCACCCTGTGGATCGAAGTCCAATGCTGATCCTACTGTTTTCTGAATCAAGAAACGGAGGCTGAGAGATTAATTTGCCTAAAGTCCTTAAAAGGCAGAGCTGGGACTCAGACCTGAATATATGACTTCAGATGGACTGTTTCTGCTATGACACCATTGCTGCTTTCTGAACATGGGAGAACTTGGGATCAGAAATGTCAAAGATTTAATTTGCCGATCCCTTTTACTCTCTCCATCCTCCTGGATAGCAATCCTTTGAGAAACAAGGTTTTCATTCCGGTACTCCTGCTGCCTCCTTCAACTTGCCTTCAGCCCTAGGAAGTGGGGGGCCCATCAATCCAGCCACAGCTGCAGCCTACCCACCTGCCCCCTTTATGCACATTTTGACCCCCCATCAGCAGCCGCACTCCCAGATCCTTCACCATCACCTTCAGCAGGATGGACAGGTAATAGCACTTCCCCTTCTCTCCTTTCACTTCCTCTTCCTTCCTATCCCTGAAAACTGCCTTCCCTTTCCTTCTGTTACCCTTCTTCACCACCACCTTCACTCAACCCCTTCCCAGTGCCAGCCATGGGCACACAGCACATACAAACACAAGCGCACATAACACGAATGGCCAGCAAAGATGTCAGAGAAGGGGCCATTGATCTTTTTAGCACAGTTCCTATGGTGCCTTTCTTCACCACCTCCTCCCATGACACAGTTGTCTTCATCCCATCAGACCTGTGTTACACCTCCCTTCCTACCTCTCCCAGTCTTCCCCCTTTCCCTGACATTATAGCTTTCCCTTCTAATGGTGGAGTTCTATTGTCAAAGTTTGTCCCTTTATTTTCCATATATCCTGGTTCTGCCTCAGCTACCATATTTGCAGATGATTCTCTGTTGCCAGCGCCAGCAGGAGGAGCAGGTAATGAAACTAAATGATGATATGCTTGAACCCACTTCTTTTCAGTCCTCATTTCACCTCCACAGCTTCAGGGATCTTGACAAGGAAAGCAATTGTGCAGTCACATATCGGGATACACAAACACAAACACCTTGCTGAACTCTCTACACCCCTCCCCTCATTTCTTCCCCCTTAATGCCCTCTCTTTCTTCTACCCTTCCCCAACTTTGGAAAACACTTGGTTATCAGAATGGGAAGGATTCTTGAACAGCATCTGAGGCCTGAGGCTTCGGACATTACAGGCCTATAATGAGTCCATAGATGTGATGTATGGTAGGGGTGGGGAGCTGTGGGATAGTGCAAGTGACTTGATGGTGTCTGGGGAGCTACAATAAGGGCTTCATTGCTTTTCAAAAACAGCATTCCAAATGGAGGCACTGGGGCATCAATGAAAATGAAATGTCTTCATAATCTCTGTTTCACTGAGAGTTTATAATTCTCTCCAGATAAGCAGCCTGTACTCAACGTAGTAGGGAGTGGTTGGGGTGGTGGGAAAGGTATAATTGAAAATGAGAACTGATTATCTTACTGCCAAAGGTATCTTGTCCTCATTTTATCTTTCTACTGTTTAAAGGATGAAAGTACCTTGCTTGTCAGAGAGGGGCTCTAGCAGTGCTGTAGACCAGAACTTTCCATGGTTGACAAGTGAACTTCATAGTAGTCTCTAAGCAAGGGGAATGGGAGAGTTCAAGACAACTTCCATATCTCCACCTGAAGATCTCACAAATCTGTCCCACTAACTAGACACCTTTTTCCTCCCCATGATCCTCCCATTCCCCTGCAGACGGGCAGCGGGCAACGTAGCCAGACCAGCTCCATCCCGCAGAAGCCCCAGACCAACAAGTCTGCGTACAACAGCTACAGCTGGGGGGCCAACTGAGGCCCTGGCCCTCCTCTTCTCCCAGTCCCATCTTCTGAGAGGGCTTCTCAGCCTGGCAACTATGGAAACAGCATCAAAGAAAAAAAGGAATGTGGGGGGTGGGGCCCTCCGCTGCCCTCCACCCTCAGCAGCCCACCCCATGCCTCAGCTTCATGTCTGTCCCATTCCCATACCATTCCCACTCTGTTGTATGTATTATAGAATTTGTATTCCCTCCCTTTTTTTTTTTTTCCTTACCTCTTTCTCCTCCCTCCTTGCATTCAAGATTATGAAACTTTGCTGTGGGCCCTGCCCTGCCCTTCTCCTGTTCACCCTGGTGGTGGTTGGGTGAGGTGGGAAGGTGGGACCCCCAAATATATATCAGCCCAACAGCCCTGAGTCTCCTCCTTTATTATTAGGAAAACAAAACAACATCAAAAAATGGCGTCATGAATATGAACAGCATTGTCAGATGAATTAGTTGAAGTGTTTTGTTTTGTTTTTTTTTTTGGGTTTTTTTTGGTTTTTGTTTTTGTACTGTGTCCTCAAATTTAATGGATTAATGTGTCTTGTATATATAAAAAGAAAACCTCTACCTTCAGCCTCTGCCCATTCTTGCTCCATCTAGGATGTTCTCAGTCTCGCCGATGACCAGCTTGGTGAATAATGAATAAGTATTACTGTACCAACTGGGCCGCTTCTAGCAGGCCCTGAAGGCAGTGGAATAAAATGAAGTCTTTACCCTTTAAAAACTCATTTGACATTAATTTGCTAATGTCTTGATTTTGAGAGGATTCTCTTTTCTTCATTCCTAAGAACCTTACAGCCTGGTGCCTGGAAAGAATCACAAATCTTCATTTCCTCTAGAAACTGCTACATCTACAATAGATTTCAGGCAGTAAGGGGAAAGGGATGGACGGAGATTGGGTGGGAAGGGAAGGGTCTAGGAACTGAAACCATTTCAGAGAGAGAAGAGGTTTTGTCGGTTTGAAGTATAATTTCCATAGGTCCAGGCAAATAAACGGAAAGAAGCAAGAGCAACATACACTGTGGTTGTGGCTCCATCCCACTAAGTGGCTGTTGTTAGGTGCTATCTAATTGGTGCCAGTTCATAGCAATTCTGTATACAATAGAACAAAATATTGCCCAGTCCCTATGCCATCCTCACAATTTTTGCTGTTTTGAGTCTAGTGTTGCTTCATCTCAACTAGTCTCTATTTTGCTTACCCTCAACTTTACCAGGCATAATGTCCTTCATGATTAACATGTTCAAAGTACATGGGATGAAGTCTCACCATCCTGGTGTCCAGGAAGCATTCTGGCTTGCTATTTGAGTGATTTGAATCCATACCCATCTCTTGAAGTCCAGGGCAAGGCTGGGATAGGGAAGGAGAGTTAAGAGACTAAAAACAGTCTTCCTTTCCAGGATTCTTCACTAGCGCCCCTCCCCTTGTTTGCATGCAAATCCTCTATGCTGCAGGTTGCAAAGCCTGCTCAGGAAAATTGAAAGTATCCTTTATATGACATCTTGGTGGCTGGAGTGATGAACTCCATACCTACTCAACTAGGGGAATTCAATTCTAGGAGAAGCTTGGTAAGAACATTTTGCCCATTCCTTTTAATACCAGACTTAACCCAAGTCTGTCGAGAAACTAAAGTGGTTTCCTGGATGTTTGTGGATCCAGGACTGAGGGTTTCTGTGGGTGGGCTGCCCTCTGGTGGCTTTACCTGTACAATCGAGACACATCTTTGAAACACTTTATGCTGAGGTGGTCAGCGGGAAAGAGTGGCGACGTCGAAGAGATATAAAAATTCAATACCACTGTGGTGATGCAGGATAATGCACTGGCGGTTCACTCACCAGCCGCTCCTTGGAAACCCTATACAGGATCGCTATGAGTCGGGAACAGACTCAGTGACACTTAACATTCTCTTCACATGTTAGGGCATGCCATCGCGATGGTTCCGGGACATAGCAACATTTAGAATTTCTGAGGCAGTAAATCTACTGGTTTCTTCCACGGAGTGGCTAGTAGATTTGAACCTCTGACTTTGTGGTTAGAAGCCCAACGTATCACCACTACATAACCAGGACTCCTTATCTTCGTCACAAGAAACTGGTCTAAGGTGAAGCGAAAGTAAAGCCTTCTGAATTTGAGGAAGACCGTCCGCCCAGCCTCCTTCCACGTCCGGCTTACTGTCACTTTACGACAGTTTCTGGGTCGCAGGTTTGCTTTCAGGCAACGTGATGTGACGTTTCGCTTACTTTCCGACAACGAAGTGCCGACTTCCTAGCGGTGCAAATGGGTCGTGGGTAGTTTTCAAAGGTTCGATTCCCAGTACGGGAATGAGTCTCTTTGACCTCTTCCGGGGCTTTTTTGGCCTCTCTGGACATAGGAGGTAAGAGTGAGTTCGAATGGGACAAAGGGGAGTCTTTTGAGGGAAGTTTGGCCCTTACTCTATTTTTGGAAAAACGTCCTCTTCCACACTCCTTCAGCCGTGGAGAGGACTGCAGTCGCAACTTTCAGCACTTACCCTGCGATTGTAAGGAGGAGGAAAAAACCGGCAACCTAAGCATTTCTCCAACCTGGGGTGATGCAACAGGCGCCCGGGCGGGGAAGACAATGGGGATCTGGGGGAGAGGACCGTGAGTGAGTTGATAAAACCTTGGGACGAAGGCGGGGCTGGTGGACATTGAAGTGAAGACCGAGGGGGTGAGATGGGGTAAACTACAAGGTGAGGATTGACTTTGATAAGAACTAAACAGAAGTACTAGCAGCGGTTAAACCTTTGTTTGATTCGACCATCAGTCCTTTAATCCCCTCCCAGTTTCCCAGAACGTTAAAGCTTTGATTCCCTCCCAGCTTCCCAGAACCCTCTCTTGTCTCACTTTGCTACCCATGAGTAGATTTTACGGCTAAGAACTTAACTGCTGCTGAAATCTTGGTAGCCATTCTGCCTCCACCCCCAGCCACAGAGATCCCTTTTTTGGAGGAATGACTCGCGATGAAGATGAAGATGATGAGGACGAAGGAGGAGGAGCCGCATGGGACTATGGGAGCCCCAGTTTTCGGGAGCCCCAGCCTCCAGAGGAATTTGGCTTCAACTTCAGCCCAGGAGGAGGGATGCATTTCCATCCTAACTTCGGTTTTGATGATTTAATACGGGATTTCAATAGCATCTTCAGCGAGATGGGGGCCTGGACCTTGCCTTCTCATCCTCCTGGTGTGTGGCTGCCCCTGAGTGGGAACACATGGGTTCTGTTGTGTTGGTGGGTGAAATAAAGAGTCTGCAAGGAGTAGTTGGGGAATGGGAAATGTAAGACTGATGGCATCAAGAAGGTTTAAATAGCCCAAGAAGTCCTTTTCCACCCCCAGAATTGACCTGCCAACTTTCTGCAGAACTTCCAGGTTCTGAGTCAGAGAAACAGAGGAAAGGTGAGACACTCCGGGACTCAATGCTTAAGTATCCAGACAGTCACCAGCCCAGGATTTTTGGGGGTGTATTGGAGAGTGATACAGGAACTGAATCCCCAAAACCAGCACCAGACTGGGGCTCCCGGAGACCTTTTCATAGGGTAAGTATCCCTTCTGTTTATGAAGTGAGAACCTATGGAAGATAGCTAATAGTATGCAAAGAGTTGGAATCTGGTAGACGTAAGATGGAGTCCTAGACCCTCCACTTAGCTTATATATCTGTTGTGTCTAATAAGTTTCTTATATAGGATTTTCTTTGAGGGGTGGGGAAGGATGGGAGTTATCTCTCTTTTTAAAAAATGAAAATCAATGGTTTAGAAGAATTATTGGGGGAAGTCAGAGAAATATCATATTAGGAAGGCTTCTTGGTAGAGGAATATGTAAAACAGCCAGGGAAAAGGAAGCAGTATGTAAATAGAGCTATATTGAGTAGGTTCTTCCTCCTGGGGAAAGACAGTTTGGAAACTTGGTCAGAGTTTGGGGTCTGTGAACCTTTAAGTTTCAGGCTGAAAATTTGTCTTCACCTACTTTGACTTCTGCAGTTTGATGATATGTGGCCTGTGACCCCACATCCTAGAGCCAGAGAGGATAATGGTGAGTCTGGAAGGAGAAGACCTTCACTAGCCCTCTGTTGTTCTGAAATTCCCTCTGGTTTCCCTCTCTGAAACGTCTTCCTGTCTCATTTCTCTTGTTTTCTCTTATGCTATTCCTCTTCTGTTTCTTCACCTCTCTGCCCTTCCAGATCTGGATTCCCAGGTTTCTCAGGAGGGCCTCGGCCCAGTTCTACAGCCCCGGCCCAGATCCTATTTCAAGAGTGTATCTGTGACCAAGATCACTAAGCCAGATGGGGTGAGCTGAGAGAGAGGGGTAAAGGGAACTGTGGCCAGGGGGTATGCTAGAAATAGTTCTGTGTAAAGAAACTCATCTTTACAAAGTGGTGGGGACTTCTCCTTATAGACAGTAGAGGAACACCGGACTGTGGTGGACAGTGAGGGCCGGTCAGAGACCACAGTGACCCGCCAAGAAGCAAACAGCAGTCTTACACATGGTGAGTGAAGAGTGAATCAAACAGCTTTAGGATGGGAAACTCTTTGTCATCTAACCTTTAATATTATATTCCTCTCCTTTTATTCTTCTTAGTCTCTAATTTAGCCTGTTATTATGTATGACTTTCTTCTAGATAACGAATCACCAAGACCTTCAGTCCTGGATGATACCTCTTCCATACTGGATTTATTCCTTGGACGTTGGTTCCGGTAGACATGTTAACCCTCAGGCACCCTGGAGTCCTTTCCATTTCCCACCCTTTACCCACCACCAATGGGCTTAGCTGCTCTTGTCACACTGGGGACTTGAGTAGATGGAGCAGAGAATTGGGAATATGTCAGTATGCCACTCACCTAAACTGACCAATAAAACCTTTATTTATGCTAATTCCTCAGCTTTAATTTTGTCAAGGGTGTCTCATTTTCAAGTAACATCCACAGCTTTCCCAGATTATCTTGGACAATATTCTTTGCCTTTTTTCCTAATTTTTTGTGTTGCTTCCAAAACCTGATTGGATAAGTTCAAGTCAGGCATCAGTAAAAAGTAATTTTTCTTAATAATTAGATAATTAGCAAGAATTCCCAGAAGGGAAATGTACATCAGATTCTAACAAAGGAAGTCACAGGGAGTGTGGAAGTAGAGGGACTATTTTCTTACATGTGAGGTCACTATGACTACATCTTTTATAAGAATATTGGAGGAAGTACTAGCATAATATTCAGCCTTCTGCTCTCCCGAAGTTCACTTTGCTCTCCCTCCAGCACACATTAAAAAATATTTTCCTCATTTAAAAAGTTTCTAGTGCTATGCTTAAAGATGGCAGATTTTACAAATGTGTTTATCTCCATTCTCTCTGAAAACCTCATTAGAATGGCAAAGGGTTTTTCTAAAAAGGCATCTCACAAGAATAGAGAGGAGAAGAGCTGATAGCTATAACGTCTCTTTTTATTCTATCTTTTGGTGAAAAGAGTTGTTAGCTAAATTTAGCTTTTCCTTTATTGTTAGTTCTCTTTGTGTCTTAGAAATCTCTCTAACTCAAGGCTAAAAGAATACTTTTCCTATATTATCCTTATATTTTTGCCTTTTAAACCCACTTAGAATTTATCCTTGTTATATGGATGTACTATTTATGAGGGTGTGTCAAAAATGATCTGTACTATGACTGGAGAATTTATTTTAATCAACTTTTAGAAAAGACAAAAAACTTTTTTTTTATACATAATCTTGCTTTCAATACACTTTGTCCCTCAGTCAACAAACTCTCTTATTCCATTATTAAAAAATGTTTTAGGTTGAACTATAAGCCACTAATACATCACTGTCTTCACTTCATCAGCGGTGAATCTTTGTCCTTGAAGGGCTGCTTTCAGGGATCAAACAGGTGAAAGTCAGATGGAGCAAGATCAGGACTATAGGGAGGATGCTCTAACACCTCAAAATGAAGTTTTTGCAGAGTGTCAACTGTGTGGGTGTGCATTGTCATGCAAGATCACAATGCTGTTGGATAGCAGTCCTCTGCATTTAATCTGAAGTTCAGGCTCTTCAGTGAATATCTCACTGTAATGAGCACTGTTCGTTATTGGATCTTTTTCCTGATAGTGTTACATTACTGGCCCTTGAGAATCCCAGAAAACTGTAAGCATCAATTTTCCAGCTGATGGTTGACTTTTGAACTTTTTCTTGGTTAGCAATTGAGGATGTTTCCATTCCATACTCTGCCATTTACTCTCAGGCTCATAGTGATTAATTCGTATCTCGTCACCATATACAATTTTTTAAAAGAAACTTTTACCTTGCTTTGAGCATAGGTTCACATATTGTTTGCAGATGTCCACGTTCACACCTGCACAGCAGTGGCCTTGAATGGAAAGTGCTGGTTACAATGGTGCAACCAACAGAAAAGTTAATATAACTGGAGTTTGAATAATTTTTGACTCAGCATCATATAATATATATATATATATTGTTGTTATTATGTGCTGTGGAGTCGGTTCCGACTCATAGCGACCCTCCCTGCGCAGGGTTTCCAAGGCTATAAATCTTTATGGGAGCAGACTGCCTCATCTTTCTCCCGCAGAACAGCTGGTAGTTTCGAACTGCTGACCTTGTGGTTCGCAGCCCGATTCGTAAACACTACGCTACCAGAGCTATATATATAT